ATTGGGTCACCCTGGGGTCACATTGGGGTCACCCTGGGGTCACCCTGGGTCACCCTGGAGTCACCGTGGAGTCACCCTGGGGTCACCCTGGAGTCACCCTGGAGTCACCCTGGGGTCATCCTGGAGTCACCCTGGAGTCACCCTGGGGTCATCCTGGAGTGACCCTGGGGTCATCCTGGGGTCACCCTGGAGTCACCCTGGAGTCACCCTGGAGTCACCCTGGGGTCACCCTGGAGTCACCCTGGAGTCACCCTGGGGTCATCCTGGGGTCTCCCTGGAGTCACCCTGGAGTCACCCTGGAGTCACCCTGGGGTCACCCTGGAGTCACCCTGGAGTCACCCTGGGGTCACCCTGGGGTCACCCTGGAGTCACCCTGGGTCACCCTGGGGTCATCCTGGGGTCACCCTGGAGTCACCCTGGGGTCACCCTGGAGTCACCCTGGAGTCACCCTGGGGTCACCCTGGGGTCACCCTGGAGTCACCCTGGGTCATCCTGGAGTCACCCTGGAGTCACCCTGGGGTCATCCTGGAGTGACCCTGGGGTCATCCTGGGGTCACCCTGGAGTCACCCTGGAGTCACCCTGGAGTCACCCTGGAGTCACCCTGGAGTCACCCTGGAGTCACCCTGGGGTCATCCTGGGGTCTCCCTGGAGTCACCCTGGAGTCACCCTGGAGTCACCCTGGGGTCACCCTGGAGTCACCCTGGAGTCACCCTGGAGTCACCCTGGTGTCACCCTGGAGTCACCCTGGAGTCACCCTGGAGTCACCCTGGGGTCATCCTGGGGTCTCCCTGGAGTCACCCTGGAGTCACCCTGGAGTCACCCTGGGGTCACCCTGGAGTCACCCTGGAGTCACCCTGGTGTCACCCTGGAGTCACCCTGGAGTCACCCTGGTGTCACCCTGGAGTCACCCTGGAGTCACCCTGGAGTCACCCTGGGGTCATCCTGGGGTCTCCCTGGAGTCACCCTGGAGTCACCCTGGAGTCACCCTGGGGTCACCCTGGAGTCACCCTGGGGTCATCCTGGAGTCACCCTGGGGTCACCCTGGGGTCACCCTGGGGTCACATTGGAGTCACCCTGGGGTCACATTGGAGTCACCCTGGGTTCACATTGGAGTCACCCTGGAGTCACCCTGGAGTCACCCTGGATCACCCTGGAGTCACCCTGGGTCATCCTGGAGTCACCCTAGAGTCACCCTGGGTCACCCTGGGGTCATCCTGGGGTCACCCTGGAGTCACCCTGGAGTCACCCTGGGTCACCCTGGAGTCACCCTGGAGTCACCCTGGGGTCACCCTGGGGTCACCCTGGAGTCACCCTGGGGTCATCCTGGGGTCACCCTGGGGTCACCCTGGAGTCACCCTGGGGTCATCCTGGGGTCTCCCTGGAGTCACCCTGGGGTCATCCTGGGGTCTCCCTGGAGTCACCCTGGAGTCATCCTGGAGTCACCCTGGGGTCACCCTGGGGTCACCCTGGAGTCACCCTGGGGTCACCCTGGAGTCACCCTGGGTCACATTGGAGTCACCCTGGGGTCACATTGGAGTCACCCTGGGGTCATCCTGGAGTCACCCTGGGGTCACCCTGGAGTCACCCTGGAGTCACCCTGGAGTCACCCTGGAGTCACCCTGGGGTCACCCTGGAGTCACCCTGGGGTCACCCTGGAGTCACCCTGGGGTCACCCTGGGGTCACCTTGGGGTCATCCTGGGGTCACCCTGGAGTCACCCTGGAGTCACCCTGGGTCACCCTGGGGTCACCCTGGAGTCACCCTGGAGTCACCCTGGGGTCACCCTGGGGTCACCCTGGGATCACCCTGGAGTCACCCTGGAGTCACCTTGGGGTCATCCTGGAGTCACCCTGGAGTCACCCTGGGGTCACTTGGGGTCACCCTGGAGTCACCCTGGAGTCACCCTGGAGTCACCTGGGGTCATCCTGGAGTCACCCTGGAGTCACCCTGGGTCACCCTGGGGTCACCCTGGAGTCACCCTGGAGTCACCCTGGGGTCACCCTGGGGTCACCCTGGAGTCACCCTGGAGTCACCCTGGAGTCACCCTGGGGTCACCCTGGGGTCATCCTGGGGTCTCCCTGGAGTCACCCTGGAGTCACCCTGGGGTTACCCTGGAGTCACCCTGGGGTCATCCTGGAGTCACCCTGGGGTCACCCTGGGGTCACATTGGAGTCACCCTGGAGTCACCCTGGGGTCACCCTGGAGTCACCCTGGAGTCACCCTGGGGTCATCCTGGAGTCACGCTGGAGTCACCCTGGGGTCACCTGGAGTGACCCTGGGGTCATCCTGGGGTCACCCTGGAGTCACCCTGGAGTCACCCTGGAGTCACCCTGGGGTCACCCTGGAGTCACCCTGGAGTCACCCTGGAGTCACCCTGGGGTCACCCTGGGGTCACCTGGGGTCTCCCTGGAGTCACCCTGGAGTCACCCTGGAGTCACCCTGGAGTCACCCTGGGGTCATCCTGGGGTCTCCCTGGAGTCACCCTGGAGTCACCCTGGAGTCACCCTGGGGTCACCCTGGAGTCACCCTGGGGTCATCCTGGAGTCACCCTGGGGTCACCCTGGGGTCACCCTGGGGTCACATTGGAGTCACCCTGGGGTCACATTGGAGTCACCCTGGGTCACATTGGAGTCACCCTGGAGTCACCCTGGAGTCACCCTGGAGTCACCCTGGGGTCACCCTGGGATCACCCTGGAGTCACCCTGGGTCACCCTGTCACCCTGGGTCACCCTGTCACCCTGGAGTCACCCTGGGGTCACTGGGTCACCCTGAGTCACCCTGGGGTCACCCTGGGTCACCTGGGGTCACCCTGGAGTCACCCTGGGGTCACCCTGGAGTCACCCTGGAGTCACCCTGGAGTCACCCTGGGGTCACCCTGGGGTCACCCTGGAGTCACCCTGGGGTCATCCTGGGGTCACCCTGGGGTCACCCTGGAGTCACCCTGGGTCATCCTGGGGTCTCCCTGGAGTCACCCTGGGTCATCCTGGGGTCTCCTGGAGTCACCCTGGAGTCATCCTGGGGTCACCCTGGGTCACCCTGGAGTCACCCTGGAGTCACCCTGGGGTCACCCTGGAGTCACCCTGGAGTCACATTGGAGTCACCCTGGGGTCACATTAGAGTCACCCTGGGGTCATCCTGGAGTCACCCTGGAGTCACCCTGGGGTCACCTTGGGGTCATCCTGGGGTCACCCTGGAGTCACCCTGGAGTCACCCTGGAGTCACCCTGGGGTCACCCTGGGGTCATCCTGGGGTCTCCCTGGAGTCACCCTGGAGTCACCCTGGAGTCACCCTGGGTTACCCTGGAGTCACCCTGGGGTCATCCTGGAGTCACCCTGGGGTCACCCTGGGGTCACATTGGAGTCACCCTGGGGTCACATTGGAGTCACCCTGGAGTCACCCTGGGTCACCCTGGAGTCACCCTGGGGTCACATTGGAGTCACCCTGGGGTCACATTGGAGTCACCCTGGGTTCACATTGGAGTCACCCTGGGTTCACATTGGAGTCACCCTGGAGTCACCCTGGGGTCACCCTGGGGTCACCCTGGAGTCACCCTGGAGTCACCCTGGAGTCACCCTGGGGTCACCCTGGAGTCACCCTGGAGTCACCCTGGGGTCACCCTGGGGTCACCCTGGAGTCACCCTGGGGTCACCCTGGGGTCACCCTGGAGTCACCCTGGAGTCACCCTGGGGTCACCTGGAGTCACCCTGGGGTCACCCTGGGGTCACCCTGGAGTCACCCTGGAGTCACCCTGGGGTCACCCTGGGGTCACCCTGGAGTCACCCTGGGGTCACCCTGGAGTCACCCTGGAGTCACCCTGGAGTCACCCTGGGGTCACCCTGGGGTCATCCTGGGGTCTCCCTGGAGTCACCCTGGAGTCACCCTGGAGTCACCCTGGAGTCACCCTGGGGTTACCCTGGAGTCACCCTGGGGTCACCCTGGGGTCACCCTGGGGTCATCCTGGGGTCTCCCTGGAGTCACCCTGGAGTCACCCTGGAGTCACCCTGGGGTCTCCCTGGGGTCACCCTGGAGTCACCCTGGGGTCACCCTGGGGTCACCCTGGAGTCACCCTGGAGTCACCCTGGGGTCACCCTGGGGTCACCCTGGAGTCACCCTGGAGTCACCCTGGAGTCACCCTGGGGTCACCCTGGGGTCATCCTGGGGTCTCCCTGGAGTCACCCTGGGGTCACCCTGGAGTCACCCTGGGGTTACCCTGGAGTCACCCTGGGGTCATCCTGGAGTCACCCTGGGGTCACCCTGGGGTCACCCTGGGGTCACATTGGAGTCACCCTGGGGTCACATTGGAGTCACCCTGGAGTCACCCTGGGGTCACCCTGGGGTCACCCTGGGGTCACATTGGAGTCACCCTGGGTTCACATTGGAGTCACCCTGGGTTCACATTGGAGTCACCCTGGAGTCACCCTGGAGTCACCCTGGAGTCACCCTGGGGTCATCCTGGAGTCACCCTGGAGTCACCCTGGAGTCACCCTGGGGTCACCCTGGGGTCATCCTGGGGTCACCCTGGAGTCACCTGGAGTCACCCTGGGGTCACCCTGGAGTCACCCTGGGGTCATCCTGGAGTCACCCTGGGGTCATCCTGGAGTCACCCTGGGGTCATCCTGGGGTCACATTGCTGCATGTCTTCCCCCCTTTCAGGTCCTGGAGAACCGCTGACCTGCAGCTTTAGATCAATCTCTGGTCCAGAACCTGAGTTACATAATGAGGTGATGAGCAGGAGAACCTGATGCACTGCAGGAAGAGATTCAGCTGTTTGATTATTAGGATCCATATTACATGTTGCCATTACATTGTTCCTGGGGTTCACATCATAACACATCATTTACTACAAACCCAGTTATACACACTTAATATAACATTAGAAACATAACATGAATTCATAAATACACAATTATAACACTTTATAAAATGAACTCTGGGTTAAAGTGATCTGTGAATTTATCATCTTTCATCTCATAGTTATTATTTATTCTGTAATTTCCCAGGTAATCCAGATTGTCTCCGGATCGTTCTGATTGGGAAAACTGGCAGTGGGAAGAGTTCATCAGGAAACACCATCCTGGGAAGAAACCAGTTTAAATCTGGAGTTTCTCCACAGTCAGTTACTAGAAGCTGTGAGAAAGCTGAATGTGTGATAGACGGTCGCCATGTTGATGTTGTTGACACTCCTGGTCTGTTTGACACCAGCTTGTCCTTGAGTCAGGTTAATGAAGAGATAAGGAAATGTATCAGTCTGGTGCATCCAGGTCCTCATGTCTTCCTGCTGGTTTTACCGATCGGCAGATTCTCTATAGAAGACACTGAGACACTGAAACTGATTCAGGAAGTTTTGGGAGAAAATTATAAGAAGTTTACCATCGTCCTGTTTACCAGAGGAGATACACTGGAACGTGATGAGATCTCCATTGAACAATACATTGAAGATGATTGTGAAGATGCCTGTAAGAATCTGATCAGAGAGTGTGGAGGAAGATACCATGTGTTCAATAACTATCAAATAAAGAATCGATCACAAGTTACTGATCTGATCAAAAACATCAACATGATGGAGAATGAAGGCAAATGCTACACCAAGGAGATGTTACCTGGTCAACAGAAACCAAAATAAAATCTCCTGTTTGACTAATAAAGTTTATCTGAATCTGATTAGTGTTAAAATAAAGAAAAAGAAAACAAAATAAACTCCCAGAATGCAAAGCGCTCAGCCAATCATTTTTCTGAAAAACTTTTATTATTTTGCCCCTTTTTACATTTGATATAGTTTATTTCATTATTTTCATTTTCATTGTTATTTTAACTTTACTGGATTAATCATTTTGTAACAGAATGAAATATTGGAGATTAGAAATAAACATTTAATTTAAATAAAATATGGGCTCAAACTACATATTTCAGTATTTTCTGTAGTGTTGAGAAAAAGCAGCTACAATAACTTTACATCTTTATGGACCAACAGGACGGATCTGCTGAGCAGCTCAGAGGATATTTAAATGTAAAGATGATTTATTAGAAGATTTTTCCATAAGTTGATTATCTTGTCTGGATTTTTTAACATTTCAGGATGAAATGATGTTTTATTAATTACAACCTGATCCATCATCAACAACAAACAACAGATCTAAACTGTAGATCAGGAACATTTTATGGTTTGTTTTGTTTGGGTTGGAAATATTTCCAGGCCTTTTTTTAATATGCATTTAATTTATGTTTTTTTTAATTTAATGTACTTGTTGGTGGATGATTTTTAATGAAAAATAAAATTGTTATGAATGATGTTTTTGATTGTTTTCCTCTATTTGATTTGTATTTAATTTTGATATTTAGTGGATTTACAGTTTATTCTTCCTGACAATATGAAGTAGTTTTTATTAAAGGTTTATTGAAACGTTTCTGCCTGGAGGCCTGGATGGAGAAAAGATCAAACCAGTCAGATCTGCTGATTTCTCTCAAACTTCAAAACACAGATTGTTTGAATTGAATTGATATTTTTCTTCAAGTTAAACTATATAAATTGTTTCTGCCACTTAGTGATGCTGGTTGATGAAAGGGTCTCTAATTTATGGTTAATAGCCTCATATTTCATCTTAATGAGACGAATCAAAATGTTTTGTTTTGATAAATCATTTTGCATTGAGTCTCTATAATCATTTTGATATTTGTCTAATTTTATGCATTTGTTGTGTTAGCAGGCTTTCTTACTTCTGTTATATTTGAATCAAACTTTTAATTTTTATCTGACACAAAACAAACTATTGAACTGAACCACAACAGAAACAGAACCGAACCCAGAAACCAAACCATGTCCTCAGTGAAGATCGATGTCCAAAAAGTCAAAAGCCTCGACTTGGATTGGTTGCTTCAGATCCTCTTAGTTAATATTCGGCTTGATTAAAGCAGAACTCACAAAAAAACACACAAGGGGGTCTTGTCTCAGGTAAATAGGGTATAAGTGTTACCGGGTTAATGTTCAACCACTCAATACAAAATTATTAGGTTTTTACCAGAAATGATTTATTATGAAACCCGAAATTTGAATATTTAATAAACCTAAATCATTATCCAAAACCCACCAAAATAATCAAGGGTCTGATTCGCCTTGTTCGGGCTGATCCATCAATCCCACTTAAAAAATAGAAAGTCCGGATAGTCCTGTTCCTTTTTTACATTTTTGTCCATAAAAGAGTCCCATAAACTCCAAATCGAACAACGTCCTGGAAGCGTCGCTCCGTATTAATCCCCGTCTTCAATCCCGAAAGAAAAATCCAAAACGTCAAAAAAAAAAAAGATGAGAAAAAGAAGAGTGGTACCACCAAAACCCCCCAAAGATAATAAAGTCCAGATCTCACCGGGAGCGTCCCTTTTCCCCCTGGTGGCTTCCTGGCGTCTCCTTCTGCACCGGGCGGCGTTTCCGAGGTGCAAACTCCGGTCCAGGCTCCGGTCCAGGCTTTCGGGCGCGATCTGCGGCGCTGGGACGAACCTTAATCGATGTTTTATCTTTTTCGTTACTTTCTTTGGTTTAAACAGTAAATAAGGCCAAAACTCCCGCTGCACAGATCGACACATGAGCGTCTTTCTTACTGATTGCGCCGCGTCTTCCGGCGGACACGCTCCCTTTTATCACTAATTCCCACACACCTGGCCCCAAAACATGATTTACCCAACATCAGTTTAACAGTGGAACTTCGACATTTTTTATGTAATAATGAACCCCAACTGTTCCACTTGACAGCTTGGAATTTTTAACATTTAATATAGTCACTGAGAAAACAAAACATAGTGGTTATGTTGGAGAAATTGTGATATTATTAATCAATTATTTGTTATTCTCATTGATCTTTATAATGTATCTTTAATTGATGCTTTCCTTAAAGTTAATCTCATTATAGAATTAAGAATGTTTCTTGTATTGTTGATTTGCTCTGATTCCTTTCTCAGAAGGCCTCACTGACAGAGAGCAGAAACAAAATCTTCCTGCAGGTTTACCTCTTGGTGAAGAGCTCTGCTTCGGTTGAGTTGCTGGCCTCCAATAAAACCATCATTGCTCACTACATATTTTATTAATCTTTGTGCCTGGAAGGACATTATCTAGTACAGAATGATTGTGTGTTAGTTAGTGAATAACATTTGACGCTGTAGCTGTTTGCCCCCTCCCTTTAGAGCTACAGTGTCCTTGTGATTAGGGATCCTAGAAACAATAAAATAGAGGAGCAGACAAAATGTGCTTCAGAGCGGTAGGAGATTGTAACTGAAGCACATCTCTGTCCGTTCTCCTCGCGAGTGAAAAAGAATCTAACTCTTTTGTCTTTTCTGTCTTTGTTAATGTATGTTTAACAGGTGTTAACCCTAACAGGTTATGTTACAACAAAGCCAAGCCGCCAGAGAACCAATCAAAACAAAGTTCTGATTCACTGAGAGTGAGAGCTGAGCAGTGAAAGGAAAGGAGGATTTATTCACTATAAATTCTCAGTTCTCAGAGCCCATGATGCTGAGCATGACCATCTCTAGAAAGAGATGTAAAGTGGATCCATGATGCTTTTTAATCCTTCACTTATGCTCAATATAAAGTAGAACTGCAATGGTTTGGTCTGAACTTTGGGCTCCTGCAGCTCCACAGACTCCTCTTTACCTGTTCCTGGGTGTTTAGATCAACTTTCTCTTAATCATAAAGCCTCGACATAATTAATGAGTTAGCTAACATGAATCTTAAATGTCACTGAATGCATTTGGATTATTTTTTTTTTCCAAAGCAAAAACAAACCAAGTCATTAAATCCAAAACATGCAGTATAGTGTTAAAACTTAGAGGAATAACTTCACTTTGCTCGCTAATCTTCCTCTTTTCCCAGATCCAGGGACTCCGCATGTGCAGGGGAAATAATAAAGAAACAACCATTCAACATCAGACTTCAGATGCATCTATAGTTTTATCCAGAGAATTCAATGCATACAGAATGTTATATCAGCATTACACCCAGATTATCAAGAAGTCCAACACATGACAAAACATAGAATTACCTGCAACGAGTTGAAAAGGAAAGACAAAAATGCATTTTTGGGAATTGCTCACTCGGACACAAAGCAATTCGATCTTCTGCTGTAAAACAGACCTTTTTGTAAAGGTGTGTATTCCCTTCATTTAAATATATGCATTAGAAGATGTGTCCTCCCCTGGTAGGGCTGTTTAATGTTAATTTTATTACCTTCTGCTAAAGGTTCTGCTAAACCTGCTAAAAGGTTTTAGCTTGAGACCTGCTAAAAACCCCAAAAGCAAATATATGGAGAGAACAAAGGTCATTCTCCACTAGAGTCGTCTTGTACCAGCCTCCTCCTTTTTACATTCCAAACCAAAATTTATGACCTGCAGCTAGAGGTAACTGATTTCTATTTTAAAACAAACTGGCACAAAAATGTAATGCCAAATAATAACTATGAGTTTGGATCTAAAAAAACTGCCGGGTTGTCTACTTTTAGAAAAGCTCTTTTGAAATACCTGAAATATTTTAGAAGTAAAATACTTTCCTAATTCTATTGTATTTCAGTAATATAAAAATGCATGCAAATAGTACGGTTGAAGACTAACTAATTCAGAACATGCTGTTAATGCTTAAGGAACTATCTTAATACATTTGATTATACTGGTAGAAGACTTTTCTTAAAAGTTTTAGTGTTTACTGAAGTCTTAAACAAACACCAAAGAATTTTACTCCTCCTGATAAGAGACAGACTCTCTGTGCCTGGATACTCCCTGTCTGAAGACCCTCCTTAGTAATTTATGAGTTCAGAGAGTCAGCAGTTGCTTTAGTTTGGATCTTTATCTAAGTTTACCTAACTTAGAATCTACTCAAACTGTTCATGCCACATCTAATATTTCATGCACAAAGGTTGACTGTCTCTAAAGTTATGCTAACCAAACTTATATTCTCCACAATAGTTAAATCCTCAGGGAGACAGCTAACAGCTAAAGCTAACAACTAGCACATGGCTAACAGGATCAGAAGGCTCAGTGCTATCAAAGCAAAGTCCAGGATGTCATTATCAACATGACATTCATGTCTAAAATTAGCTTTGCTGTCATTTTAGCATTAGCTTAGCACTTTGCTGTGTTTCTGGATTTTGTAGAGAAAAGGAACTGACCCTCAATCTGTCTGTCAGAAAATCAAACGTCCTTTAGTGTTTCAGTCAAACAAGGGAACTTTGCTCACTAATGTAGGAACTTTACTGATAAAAGTCTAATGTAAGCCGGTGATGTGAGGAATCCTGTGGATTAATTCACCCAGAACCAAACAATCTGACTTGGCAAATGGTGGAAGTCATGACCTTGTTCAGCAGATCAGCAGTGAATGCAGGGATGCAATAAACTAGAAACAAAGTGTGGAACAGAGAAGACTGATGAATAGAAAGATATTTACACTTTTTAAAATCCTATACACTCAAAGAACAGAGAAAATGTATTTAAGGGTTAAAAGTGGATTTTGCGTGATATGGTAATTCTGTTGTTTTTTTCTTTTCCACCACAAGAGGGCGCTGTTTATTTATGATCACTGTAATAAACATTCAGAACAATTAGATATGCATTAAACATGAACATGATTAGTTCCACTTCAGAAGAGAAACATCCATCTATCAGATATGAGGTTTAACTTTTAATGTCTGTCTTTAATCAACATGAGGATCCATTTTATGAGGTAAAGATTCAGATTCTGGTTCTAGTTTCTCCACAGAGGAGAATCTGTTCATATTAATGTACACTTTGTTTCTGCTGTGAGAGAAATATGACCAAATATGAATCAGGAAGGTTTATAAGACAAAACTACAGGCATCCTGTGATTCTCTTTAGCTTGAATTCATCTGGTTTCAAATAATTCAAGCTGTTATTAATCGTTAATATCAGCAGTTTTCTAAGAAGTGACAGCAGCTCCAGTAAAATGATCCGGGCTGAAATGAAGCTCAGCTCCTTTGCTCACTATTCTAACAATAATTCTCCCTCTGACTGGATGAGGAAATAAAGAACCAGATGTTCTGCTTTCATTCAGTGTTTCCATCTCTGGGGAGATTTTACTGTCTTCTGTCAACCGTCTGAAAATAGTTGCTGAGCAGGAAGAGATGAAGGCTTCAGTCACTGCACTGTAAAACATTTCAGCCACAGGCGCCGGAACAGGGGGCTTCAGGGGGCCCCTGGCCCCACTTTATATCTGCTGGTCCTGCCAGACATTCACAGGCTGCACACAACATCTATAACTGACATCTGTCTGTGTTTCTATGCCGGTAGATAAA